GAATGTAAACATTTTAACTTTAATAGGTCCCTTATGATTGTTCTTTCCTGTTTACCTCTTCATATTTCCTTTGAGTCTGTGTATTTAAAAGTCAAATTTTCTATTCAGCTCCAGTCTTTTCTCAAAAATGTATGAAATTCCTCTATCTCACTGAATGTTCATATCTTCCCTCATGGATTATACTCAGTTTTGCTGGTGTCGACCTGAAAGTTTGGTTAAAGAAGGCAAGCAGGTTAGGTGATATATGATTATATAGTTTCTTCCCTTTTTGCTAGCGAATCATGTCGACATGGAAGCCAGAAATTGATTCTGACTCCCAGATTAAGCAAAATGAGAGAGGTTTTATACAGTTTAGAGTGATCAGACTCAGGATGTCTGTGTTACAAAAAATACAGCCTCCATATGTTTATTTAACATATACCATGGGAAAGGAATTTTCTGAATTTAATAAGGTTGTAAATACAATAAAACAGAAGAATGTCAAAGTGTCAATAGAAACTCAAGATAAGAAAAGTCCCATTATTCAAGAGAGTATCTGGTCCCAGACATCCTGGGCTTAGTTGATCAGTTCTATCTGTTCCTGGAATTTGCTGACAAAGGAAGGAGTGTTTTTAGTTCACTCAGAGAGAAAAAGATTAATTCAGGTTTTTGCCCTTATTGGGGCTTAATTGATCTTAAATGATTATCACTGGGTAGGTTATTCTTGATTGCTATCTTAGCTCCTTTGTTCTCCAATATCATATCCCAAGTCCTCCAGTTCTTTAAGGTAGAAGCTATTAACTCTTGTGTTGTCTTGATTGTGTCTTCACAATGCTTGAATTATTTCTTACTGGATCCTTGCAATGTTTTCTCCTTGACCTGGGAATTCTGCAATTTGGCTATAAAATTGCTATTAGTTCTCATTTGGGGATCTCTTTCAGGAGGTGATTGGTGGAGTCTTTTGATTTTTATTTTATCCTCTTGTTCTTGAATATCAGGGCAGCTTTCCTTCATAATTTCTTGAAAGATGATCTCTATGCTCTCCTTTGTTTTTTAAATCATGTCTTTCAAGTAGTCCAATAATTTTAAAGTTATCTCTCCTGGATCTATTGTCCAGGTCCACATTATCTTCAATTTTTTTTCATTCTTTTGGTTTATTTTATGATTCCTTGATTTCTCATAAATTCATTAGTTTTCATTTGCTCCATTCTAATTTTTAAGGAAATATTTTCTTCTGGGATCTTTTTGACCTCCTTTTTCATCTGGCTAATTCTGATTTTTAAAGAATTCTTCTCCTCATTGGCTTTTTGGACCTCTTTTGCCATTTATATGAGTCCATTTTTTAAAGTGTTATTTTCTTCAGTATTTTTTGGGGGTTCCTTTACAAACTGTTGATTCATTTTTTTCATGATTCTCTCCCATCACTCATTTCCCTTCCTAATTTTACCTCTATCTCTCTTCCTTAATTTTCAAAATCCTTTTTGGGCTTCTCCACGGCTTCAGACTAATTCATATTTTTGGGGGGGGCAAGGGAGAGGGTTCTGGTCTGGCTTTATTAGGACTAAGGAGCTTAAGGATTGAGTGAGGATGCAATGTCAGGAGAAGTGGGCTGGAGAAGCTTTAAATGGCACAAATTCTAAGTGGGGGGGGGAGTTTGCAGGGGGCTCCTTCAAAGCTAAGGCAGGGGAGGAGAGGAATAGGGGGGAAATGGGGGAGGAGAGGCAGGATGGGGTCTGGACTCAAAGGGGAGTGGTATAAGGCAGAAAGCTAGCAGGAGAGGGCTCAGCAAGGAACTTCCCAGGAAGTGTAAGCAGCTAGGAGGGCACGTTTCAATTGCTCATAGGAGACAAACATCACTACATTCCAGGAGCCCAAGCAGAGGAAGGCATGAACCCTTTGTAGAAAGCTTGGGGTCCCTCCTTCTAAAGCATGGTGAGGGCACAGTGGCCAGCACTGGCATATTGGCTCATGGCAGAGTTCTTGTATCTCGTCTTCACCACATGTACAGGGATGCAATGATGGTGGTGCAGATGCCAGCCCCAAAGGCTGATGGGAAGTGGCATAGAAGGTCATCAGTCATGACGTGGGCCTTCAAGAGGGCATGTTTGATGAGATCAAAGGTCACCAGCTCAGCACAGTTGACAATAGCATTGTAAGCAATATTGGGTGAAGTTCCTTTCCATACACCCAGAAGTCCCTCCGCTTCATAGGCATCCATTGTGCCTTGGTATCTCTGGCTGCCGCCTGCATGAGCCTGGGCCTGGAAACATGCCTTCACCACATCTGTGGGTTGGGCTACGCCCACTGCCAGTGCCCCTGTGTTGCAGCCTGCCAGGAGGCGGCTCCCAATGCCTGCATGCTCAGATCCCTTGGTGTAGAACTGCTTGACAGAGACATAGAGGCCAATGAGGACAGAGGCAAAACTTATTTGGCTCTGCAACTCAGCCACCAGCCCATTGTACAGGTTGCCAGGGCCAGGACCGTCAGTCTTTCCCATGGTGAGAATGGTGCCTATGACACCCCACACTGGGCAGTGGCAGAGGAAGCTCAGATGGCTCCCTAGCTCTCTCCCCGAATCTACAGCCGGACTTTGGCTGTGTCCAGGGGGAAGGTGATGAGGTCAGTGATGCAGGCAGCGGTGCCAGCCCCAAGGAACTTTATGGTGGCTGTTGCAGGCACATCTCTAGGCTTAAATCCAACCATGATGCAAAGCTGGCTTTCTGCTACTTCCCAGGAGGCAAAGAAGACATGGAAAGATTGAGCAAGATGAGACTGAGGAACTCTGCGGCAGTCCTGATTTGGAGGTCTCACCATGATGACACCTGGATCAAGCTTCTCTAAAGGCCTCTTGCTCTTCAAAGAAAAAAAAATGACCCACTTCCCTTGATTTTCCATAGAAAGTTGTTGGGAAATTGTGACCATAAAGGGAAACACAGGGAGGTGGCTAGAGGCATGAGCCTACAGCTGAGTCAGTGTCTGGAGGGCTGGAAGGGCTGCCTTGCAGTTTCTTAGCTGGCCCACTAAAAGGCTCTGTCTTGTAGGAAGCCAAAGACCCTGCACTGAGGACTTAATTCATATTTTTCTGGAGGCTTTGGATGTCGGACCTTTCACTTTGTTGTCTTCTTCTGAGTGTTTTCATCTTCTTTGTCATCAAAGTAAGTTTCTGTAGTCAGAATCTTTCCCCCCATTAATTGTTTATTTTCCCAGCCTATTTCTTGACTTTTTACCTCTTTAAGGTGTGGCTCTGCTTCCAGTGTAGAAGGTATACTGTCCAAAGTTTCAGGGCTCTTGTGCAGCCCTTTTCAGAGATACTTCTACGGACCTGTGAATTTTGAGTTCTTCCAAGGTGGTATGATCTAAGGGGAGGAGTTTACTACTCTCCTGGCTTATACTTTGGTCTGTGAGTGACCACAAGCACTCTTCTGTCTTGGAACTGTGAGGTGGGTGTTCTCCACACTGTAGTTTCAAGCTCTGCTATGCTAGTGCTCCTCCTCACCCTGGGACTCCAACCCAGAAGCAAGTGTGGGCAAAGCAACAGAATCCTGCCCCAGTGCTAGCAAAGAGACCGTCATCTCCTTCTGACCAGTTATTCCACCCCCCTTACTGTCTGTAGGCTGAGAACTCAAGAAGCAGCCACTGCCACTGCCCCTGCTGATTCAGTCCCTCCCAACACCTGCTCGTAGGTTGCTGTGGCCAGGGCTGTGCTGCACTATGCTGACCCAGATGTGACAGACCTTTCCTGCTGACCTTCTAAGTTGTCTTTGGCATCTGTGGGCTGAGAGGTCTGGAAACGTCTAATTCAGTCACCCTGAGGCCTGCTCCAGGATTCCTGGGGCCTGCTCTGTGTTATCCTGGCTGTGTGACTCTCTCAGTCTGGTGCAACAGACCTTTCCTGTCGACTTTCCAGGTTCTCTTGGGTGATAAATTTTTTTCGCTCCATCTTTTTGTGGGTTCTGCTACTCTAGCATTTTTTTAGAGTAATTTTTTTAGAGGTATTTGTAAGGGTTTAGGGGAGAGTTCAGGCGACTCCCTGCCTTTACTCTGCCATGGTGGAGATGCCACCACTGACTGCATTTTCACTGGTTTCCACCACCGCCCTTCCCCACCATGCCTTCAATGCTGTCCCTCCCTGCCTCAGCCTCGTTGTTTCACTGGCTTCCTTCAAGAAGTCTTCCTTGGTCCACTGTCTCTATATGATTTCCTGCAATTTACGTTGTGTGTGGGAAACAAGAAACTTTTAAAAGTGCCTGCTTTGTGCCAGCCGCAAGCACTTCACAAACATTAGCTCATCAGATCCCAACAATCCTGATATGTTGGCCCCATTAAGTCCATTTTACAGTTGAAAAAACTGAGGCAAACTAGCTAGTGTCTGAGACCAGATTGGATCTCAGGTCTTCCCGTGTACTCTATCCATTAGATCTCCTAGTAAGTATGTATGTGTGTATGTATGTATGTATGTATGTATGTATGTATATGTAGTTGTTTGCAAATTGTCTCCAATTTTCTTTATTCATTCTTGGAATCCCAAGAGCCTACTAGTTGCTTAGACCAAAGCAGATACTTAACAAAAGCTTGTTGACTTAATTACTTGATTAAAACCCTTTGGCATTCCAGCTCATTCAGGGCAGGGGCTATTTCACCTTGCTTTGCACCCCAGCATTTAACACATAATCAGTGCTTGTTGAATTGCCAAATGGCCAAATACATTCTCATAAAACTTGTATATGATGAAGAAACTTGTAGTTTCCCCTCCCTCAACCCGACTTTGGCTCTTAGAGGTCTTAATGACTCAGTAAAGCACTTCATTACTTTAGAATCAGACAATCTCTTCTTTAAGCAACTTCTTTCCCAGGGTTGACAAGACTTTATGACCTTGCCCTAAAAGGAGGTCCCAAAGCACTTGGTTGGTCCCCAAAGAACTTCCAGGATGAGCAGAATTTATAAGTCTGTTCTACTTTTCCCAAACAGTAAGTTATTCTGATTGTTTTTTTTAAAGCCAAATATATGCAATGAACTATTAGCAGTTTTAAGACATTATAATCACATTCTCTAACAGTTTAATTCATCATTTCACAGCATCCAGATCAAGAGAAGTTGATTTCCTAATACAATTCTATCACCCTCTAGGTATCATTTTAAAAATTAACAACCTTGGTTATCAAATAATTTCCAAAAATCAAAATGAAAGAAAATGTTGAAGCATAATAATAATAATAAAACAAATGTTACAGATTTAAAACAAATCTTATTGTTCTGACAAGACAGATTTAAACAAAAACTAGTTACCAATGAAATGATAATTCAGTTTAATATATTTTCCAAATCATCTTGCATAGAAAATCAATTTGTGGAGCTATGAGTGTAACACTCTAGAGGGACTGCAGTCAGTTACCAAAATATTTATACAAGAACTTTTTGTGCCAACACACAACAAGATACAAAGTAAGTAACCATCAACTGTTGAATACCTGAAGAAAATACAGTACAGGAATTGAAAGAAATATTCCTGTAGAGTAATGGGAAACATCAGGATTTCAGGGAGGAAAGCCATGACATTTTTAGGGGTTTACTCACAGTAACTAATTTTGGATGTTCAATCAGGTTTCAATACTGGGAAACCTCAGGAGGTCTTGAACAAGAGACCTAATCTTGTTGATTAGATCCATAAAGTTTATCTTCAGCAAGACTTTTCCAACATATAATCAAGTACTGTTGAAATCTAAGGCAAACCATTCAACGTCACACTAACAAGTCTATCTCCCAATGACTAATTCCAAAGAACCCAAAACTGCTCAGTTCTAAGAAAACCGAAAACATTTTTTAGGGAAAAAAGGTAGATGAGGTGAAGTTCTATACAGTCAGTCAAAACATGATGTACAGCTGACTGAGGCCCAGAATGTGAGGTTGTAATTGCAAAATTCAGACTCAAATCAAAGGAAATAGGGAAAGCCATCAGACCCTACAGCTATGCCCTAAACAACACTGCTTATGGATATGAAATGGAAATGATGAATAGATTTACGGATTAGATCTGATAGAGTGCCTGAAGAACTGTGGACAGAGGTTTGTAATATTGTACAGAAGGCAGCAACAAAAAATATTCCAAAGAAAAAGAAGAGCAAGAAAGCAAAATGGCTGTCTCATGAGGCCTTACAAATAGCTAATGAAAGAAGGAAAGGAAAAGGGAAAAGTTATACCCAAATGAATGCAGAATTCCAGAGAATAGCAAGGAGAGATAAGAGATTTGTGATGTCTCATGAGGTCTGTGCTATAGGCAAAGATCTTCTGTCATTAATCAAATCCATCAGATTTTTCTCCAGGAAGATTTCCCCAATATACAAACATATATGAGCTCCAGTTGAAGGCCTTCCCACAATTATTGCTTTTATAAGGATTCCTTCCATTGTGAATATTGTCATGATGAGTGACCTGCATCTTCCAGGGAAAGGCTGGTCCTCATTAAGCACATTCATAAGTCTTCTCTCCACCATGAAACCCTGATGTAAAGGAACAGGAGATCTCTGCTGAAGGCATTCCCACGTTGAGTCCTTGTAGGGCTTGTTCCTAAGATGAATTTTCTGGAGTCTAACAAGCTCTATAGACCATTGAATTCATAAAGTCTCTCTCCACTATGGAGTCTTTCATGTTTAATAAGGTTGTAGTTCCGTGTGAAACCCTTTCCACACTGATTACATTCATAAGGTTTCTCTCCAGTGTGGAGTCTTTGATGTTGAATAAGGTTGTAACTCTCTGTGAAAACCTTTCCACACTGATTACATTCATAAGGTGTCCTGCCAATGTGAATTTTCTGATGCATAATGAAGGATGAGTATTCGCTAAAAGCTTTACCACATTCATGACACTCATGTGGTTTTACTCCAGGATTAATTTTTTGATGGTAAATAAAGGATGACTGCTGCCTCAACACTTTCCCACAATGATGACAATCATGAGGATTTCCTCCTCTGTGGATTCTGTGAAATGCAGCACAGATTTGTCTCCCAGTGAAGTCACAAGGACCATCCCTCATGAAACTTTCCTCCTGAGTTTCTTTCACAGAAATTCTTAGCTTTGCAGTAGTCTCTTTCATTTCAGGTCTAATCTCTCCTTCTGCAAGAAACAATAAAACATATATAAAGACACATGTACACACATATAAAATCATAATCCATTCCCTCCATTGCCAGAAAATAAACGACTGAGAAAGCAGTATATACATCCTACTTTCCCAGGCTAAGAGAAATGTCTGCAAAGGTCAAATACAGAATCACTCATTTGACAATGGCATTAGTTCACATCTGAGGGATGCTTCATTCACAAAGAGCTTCACCCACAATCACATTGGATCCTCAGAAAACCCTATGACACTGGCAGGCCCAGCATTCTCATTACATTATCAGCTCAGGCCAGGAGCTCAGAAAGGTTGGGTGACCTGTCCAACATCTGTGTAGCTGAGGATAAAACACCAAACCTGTAAGTGGGCATGCTCTGTCAACCATACTAGATGGTGTTTGTCTATTCCACTTTTTTGGGGGTTTTTTTTTTTTTGAAGAACAATTATTTTATTGTTGTATGTTAACTTGTTCTCTCTTCAGGCCTTCCTATTCCCTGAGACACAACAGTATTCAAATCAGGCCAATTAATACCCCTACAATGGGGCTATAAGTTCAAGTGAAAAGAAGAGTCAATGAGTGTGGCAAACTTCACTGTAGCCTGGTTTTGAGAAACTGCCGCAGCCACTGCCAACTGTGAGCAACCCCCACCCTGCTCAGTCAGCAGCCATCATTACTTGTCTAGAGCCACCATCAGCAACAAGATTATGATTCACTGAAGGCTCAGATGACAGATAGCTTTTAATTGCAATGAAGGATTTTTAAATTTCAGTATATACATTTTTATTATTATTATTATTTGTCAATTGGGGTTAAGTGATTGCCCAGGGACACACAGCTAGTAAGTGTCAAATCCCCAATTTTACACATGGGGAAACTGAGACTCAGAGGTTCAGTAACTTGTCCAGGATCCCACTGCTAAACAGTGTCTAAAAAATAATTCCAGGTCAGGTTTTCCTGTCTCCAAATCTAGCACTTGCTTCACCACCACACCTAGAAGCCTCTTGTAATCACAGCTCTGATCCACCTGCTTTCACCTCACTCACCTGGACAGCAGCTCCTCAGGCCTTCTTGCTCCAGCAGCCATGGTGCTTCCTTTTCCTCAAAATAAGACATCAAATCTTTTCTGGGAACTGGCCGCCCTGGACATGGGGAATTAGTGATGAGGGTACAGAAAAACTAGTAATTTAGCTTCCTTTAGGAGAAAGAGTGTGCATACAAAGCTACTGCATTTTGAGAATCATTCCATCACATTCATACATATCTAGCTTATTCTCCCATGAATGCTTGCAATGCAAGTAACCCAAAATAGGATCTGCCTAATCAGTCTTGAGGAACATGATTTGGCCCTGTGCCCTACCCTGCTCCTCACTCCCTGAAACCTATAAACACCTTGTTACTGTTCATTCAGGGAGTGTTTGCCTCTTCTGGTGAGATTCTCCTGCTGGGGAATTCAATGAACCTTAGTCCAAATTCTGATTCTTGGCCAGTCTGATATTCCTGGCATTGACAGCAGCTTGCAAATAAAGAGCAAAGGATGGTTCCTAGGACTCCTTAACCATGTTGTCCACACCATTTACTTTTGGGGGCTTTGGGGAGCAGCGGGGAAGAAGATCATGGAGCTAATGAGCAATCAGAAAATTTGGTCCTGGTGCACCTTCTTCATAGAAGGATGGACTCACTGCATAGTTATAATTATCTGGAAAGCAGAGGCAGCTGGTAGTGCAGTGGAGAAAGCCCTGGTCCTGGAGTCAGAGATGCCAGGGTTTAAAACCAGCCTCAGGCAATTACTAGCTGTGTGCCTCTGGAAAAGTTCCTTACCCTCTGCTTGCTACAGTTTACTCAAATGTCAAATGGGGATAATAATATCACCTAATGACATAATAATGTAAAGAAAGCACTTTGCACAACAGCTGGTGAATAGCAGGTAAATAGAAAGGCTTATTCCCTTCCTGTCTGTCCCACCATCTCTACTGGAATGGGGGCATTGTAAAGGAAGATTCAGGAGAAACCTTCCATAGCAGGCACACATAGGAGCTGTGAGTTATAAATTGATGCTTGTTAAGAAGAATGTTCCATAGAGTAGGGCCATCCCAAAGAGGAAGGGGTCACAAGGAAAAGCCGCCTGGGTAAATTCCAAAGACTTGGCAGAAAACATTCATGTCTAGGGACAGGCTGGACAACAAAATGTGGGATTATATCCACACCTGAGGTGCTTCAACACTAATCTGATCTTTGACCTCAAGCTACCTAGAATGGCAAGAGAAAGCTTGAGGAGCAACCAGGAAACCTCCAGGTTGTCTTCACACTGTGTACTGACCTCTCTCTTGGACACAGGACACCAGCACTATTCCCTTTCAGTAATTATTAAACACTCCAAACCCAGCCCACTCAAGAATGAAGACATTCCCTTGGACTGCAGACTCAGAGTGGCCAGGGGAAGTGTCCTTACCTAGGGACAGCAGGTTATGGGCATTCTCCACCACGACCTCCTTGTACAACTCCTTCTGAGGATGGTCCAAGAGGCCCCACTCCTCCTGGGTGAAATCCACAGACACATCCTTGAATGTCACCAACTCCTAAACCATCAAAAGTCACAAGATTTATAGCTAAAAGAGACTCTAGGATTCCTGTAGTCTAACCCTCATCACGTGAGAGGAGGAAACTGGAGCATAGGCAGGGGGGTTACCCAAAGATGGTACCCTTGAGGAGTGTCAGTTAAAATAAAGTTGAGAAAAGTCTTAGTATGTAATGTGTCTCCCTGTGGAATCTGGGACAAAGTGTATGTTTTTTCTATGAGGTAGGAGGTTCTGTGGAAGACATAGACAGAAGATGATCAGAAATTTCTGCCTTCTCAGAACTGATAGAAGCAACATATTACTAAAAAAAAATTTGTGAAGAGTTTTGGAGAAACTGGAAAGTACAGTGTATTATGTGATGGCTGGGAGGATTTATGTGTGATTATTGATAAGAGAGGAAAGAAAAAGAGAAGATTTAGTTTATTTCCTGAGAAGCTAAAACAAAAAGTTTTAGCTAGATAAACCAGGAAATTGAATCTTCTGTATTTGTGGCTAAAAGATGCCACAATGAAATGATATCAACACTAAACATATATTCACCAAACGGTATGGAGTCCAAGTTTTGAAAAGAGAACTTAAATGAATTACAGGAGGAAACAGTCAATAAAACTATACTAGTGGGGTACCTCAACCTTCCCCTCTCAGAAACAGACAAATCTAAAAAAATAAAAAATAAATAAGAAGTTAAGGAGGTAAATAAAATTGAGATAAGTTAGATTGCTAGACTTTGGAGAAAACCCAATGAGAATAGAAAGGAATATACATTTTTTCTCAGTAGTACATGACATTCACACAAAAATTGCCCATGGATTAGAGTATAAAAACATCACAATCAAATGTAGAGAAGTAGAAATATAAAGTGCATCATATTCAGATCATAACACAATATAAAGTATATTCAATAAAGGGCAATGAAAAGAGAAAGATAAAATTAATTGGAAAGTTATTCATCTAATCCTAAAGAATAAATGCATCCAAGACCAAATTACAGAAATAATTAATAATTTAATTAAAGTGAATGACAACAAGGAGACAATCTAAGAACATTTATGGGATACAGCCAATGCAGCAGTTGGGAGGAAATTTATATATCCAAACATACACACACATACACACACTTGATTTTAGCCTGAGGCAAAGGCTGGGGGGCAGGGGTAGTTGGTGAAGAAGGAGGAAAAAAAGACCAAAGTAAAAGTGCACAGCAGAGAACAAAAGAAAACTTACAAGGAAGCAAAAAAAAAAAAACCAAAACCACAAACAGCTCTGAACACAATGAGTATATTTATCATATAGGTTCTATTGAAATGGAAATTTGTTGCTGTATATTTTGAATCCTCTCTCATGTTCATATCAATGCTTTTTTTCTCTCCTTATTTTGTATTTGTTTAAAATTTTTTAAAAAAATTACAAATAAAAAATGCTCTAAACCACTAACTAATAAGAGAAATATAAACCAAAACAACACTGAGGTGAAAAGAAAACTCCCAGGCCTTTGAATGGTTCCCCAAAGTCAGCCCTTTCCCTATATCCTCTCTAACAAGGGAAGTACTACCGTATCAAGGGTCTCCTTCAGCTTGTTTACTCAGAGTTGAGAATGATTTTCTGACTCCATTACACAGAATTCACTGGCTTAATGAGAAAAGATAAGCAGCCTGATCCTGTTTGTTCTTGGGACAAACCTTCAGTTAAGGGGAAAACTGATTCTGTTTGTTTCTTTGGACCAAATCGTTGATAGTGTGTGGGACAGTGACCACCGAAATCAAGAGTTTGGAGTCTGAATCACAGATTAGGAAAGGTCTTTATTCTTTCTCATGAGAAAGGGCACAGCCCTTATAGCTGCTCAAGCAGGGGCAGCCAGGGAGTTGGCAGCTGGCTGTGAGAAGCAAAGTTTTATAGCCCTAACCCATGCCCCCTCCCACTCTCTTGCCTCTTTCCCCCACTGGCTAGGTACTCAAGGAATACAATCTAAACCCGGCAACTAATACCGAATAGAAGCAAACATACCCATATTTGGTAACTAGATGTATGGTTCCTGAGGAAAGGGGAGCAACCAGGAATGGTCTGTGCTGACATGGATTTTGGACAAAGGTGAAAGTTAACTCAGGGCTTAGTCTGGAGGAAACTGCACTTTAGTAGTAGTACTACTGTTTTCAATTCCCTGCATATCTTTACGAAGAAACAATCCATAGGTAGGGATGGCCAGCCTCCTAGACAATCCTCTTTGTTTCTGGAAATGGCCTCCTTGGCTGATAAGGGTCAAAGGTGGGGGCAGAGTGCACTCACCTGGGCTGGGGGTCTGCAGCTCCCACGGGCCATTCCCTCTGGCTCTAGGCTCCCTGCTGGGTCAGGCCTTGGTCCTCTGCACGCTGAGCTGGGGAGGGAGAAAGATCCCAGTACAGGAGGGTAGCCTGTAGGGATTTACAGGGGTGTCCTCAGGGTGAGAGTACAGCCTACAGGAAGGGTCAGGCTTGGAAATAAGATGATCCCACCCTCTCCTATTCCTTCTCTTCTGTCCCCATTCCCTCCCCCATTCTCTTTCAGAAACCCAGGAGGTAGAAGAGGCTTGGGATCCCAGATGGGATGAGACCAGACAGAGTCTCAATGGCTCCTGAATCAGAGCTCTCCCTACAACTGGTCATCTGCCCTCCCTGCCTCCCCTCTCCCCAACTCACACACACACACACACACACACACACACACACACACACACACACACACACACGTTATCTAGACAACAGACTGAATGCTTGACCTAGGAGGGACTGAAGGTTGGGGATGGGGAGGGCTCTGGGATGGAGCCACCAGGAATGACCAGGGCCAGCCTGAGACTGGGAGACAAATTCAGTCTGAGATTCAGCCCCCTGGAAGGTGGCCTGAGGGCTCTGAACAATGAGGGGGCAGGGAAGCAGGAAGCCTGGGGAAAGAGAACACAGGTATAGCCTGGGAGACATTCTAATCCAACTCCTGGCAGAGTGGTCAGGGACACTGGAGAAACAGCAGGGCTCCAGGTGGACACTGAGCCTGGGAAAGCAGGACTGCTGTGTGCTAAGGTCTAACTAGGAGCTGGGGAGGATTCCTGGGACCCTCTGGTAGAGCTTAGCCTTTGAATCTCCCAGGGGAGAGCTGACACAGGGAGCCAGTGCCTGGGATCTGACAGGGAAGCAGCACAGGAGCTATGGGTCCAGGCAAGGGGGGCCAGGAGGTCCCCCTATTCAAAGTGGGGTCACGATGTGGAAAAATTAGGACTGTAATTCAGTGTTGGTCGATCTGTGAGCTGATCCAACCATTTTGGAGATAGATTTGGAATTATGGCCAAAGAGTTATTAAACTGCCAGTATCCTTTGACCCAGCAATACCACTATTAGGTCCGTTTCCCAAGATGATTAGGGAAAATGGAAAAGAACCTACATCTCCTAAAATACTTATAGCAGCTCTCCTCGCAGTGGCAAAGTACTGGAAATTGTGGGGATCCCCATCAATTGGGGAATGGCTGAACAAATTGTGGTATATGATTGTGATAGTAATACTGTGCTATAAGAAATGATAAGCTCAACGATTTTAGAAAACCATGGAAAGACTTATACAAAATAGTGGAATGAAAGAGAACCTTGGATACAGTACCAGCAATGTTGTCTTAAGAATAACTTTAAGAGAACAAGTTATTTTGATTATTCTAAACATCCAAATTAACCATAAAGGACATATGAAAAAAAGGCACTATCTGCATGCAGAGAAATAGAATCACATATAGAATAATTTTACATATACATTCATATATACCTATATATATGTGTGTGTGTGTCTAATAGTATTCATTTCCAAGGCTGGGGGTTGAGGGAAGAAAAAGAAAGAAAAAAAAGGAAATGTACAAGATATGGAATATTGCATAGGAATAGCAACTGGTGTTATTTGCAGTAGATTTGCAGTTTCAATTACAATCATCTTTTTTATTGTATGTTATGGAAAACCTTGTTTTACTCCATAAATTAAAAATCAAATTATTCAAAAACAATAAAATATATAATATTGATAAGAATTTAGTCTTTTAACAAAGTCCAAAGCATCTCGTAAATTCTCCTTAACGTTATAAGGACAATTTTTTGTTTAGACTTTAGGCCAGATGAAGCAGGCAAAACTCAGGACTAAGAGAATTAAAACATGTCAAGGTAGCAACACATTGAGACTCTTATCACTGCAGATCAGCAAGGGATTCAAGATGAAACCAGCTTTTATTGATAATTTTTCTAATGAGATAAAAAACAAATGTGGATAAACCTTCTTCAGCAAAAGAGGCCTTGCACTTTACCATCTCATGAATCACCAGTACATGAGGGCTAATGGGTACAAAAAGGCGGGGGTCACTTGTGACATGGCAACTGAAAAAGAGAAACAAATTCAAGGGACCCCTTAATACTCCTCAACATTTACATTGTGACTAATAGCAGGTAGTGTATTTTTATAGATTTATCTTTCTACATTTCCTGTGAGGTTTCTATGCCCTAATACATGGTCAATTTCTGTGAAGGTGCCATGCATAGCTGAGTAATAGGTATTCTCCATTCTATTCACATTCAAATTTCTCCAGGAGTCTATCAGCTAACTTTACTACAACTTTATTCTTTACTTCAATTCTTTATTTTCTTTTATGGTTAAATTTATCTCAGCCTAAGAGATCTAAATTGAAGACCCCTAAACTTCCTAAAACAATTTAGTGTATGTATATGTACACACACACACATACGTATATATTTATACATGTTTATATTATATATTAACCTGGAAGTTGGTTGAAGAGACAACAAGCTACGTGATATGTAAACTCATCGTTTATTCCCTTAAGTTAGTGACATGGACATGGAGCCAGAGTTTTAACTCTGACTGAATTAAGCAGTTTGAAATAGACAATTTAAACTCTTAGAGCAACCCTAACTCAGAATGTCTGAGTCAATATATACATATATGTATATATACGTATACATACAGAGCCAGTATGTTTTTAACATGTAGCATGAGAAAGGAAATTTCTTAGTTGAACAGGTTGTAAATATAAGAGAAGAAACAAAGTGTCCATTGGAATTACAGTCCCAGGATATCTGTTTTTCCCTACATATGTGCATAAGATACCAAGACAAGAAAAGTCCCATTCTTCCAGACATTGTCTGGTCCCAGGCCTTAGTGATCACACACAGTAAGAGTGCTGGTCAGCTCCAGCTGGTCCTGTAGTGGCTGACACAGGAAGGGGCATTCTTAGATCACTCAGAGAGCACAGCATGCCACGCATTATGGCACATGAAGCCCAGAGTGGACCAAAATGTCTCTCCTGATTAGCCAATCCAGGTTTTAGGCCTTTCTCAGGTGTTGGAGTTAAAAATGATTTGGGGAGGGGTCTACAATACATACATACATACATATATATATATATATATATATATATACACACACACACACACACACACACACACACACACACACATATGCATACACCTATCCCTAAGTGCACTATGGTGCCACCCAGCCACCCCTAAGTGTTTGGGTGCTCTATAACAGTCAATGGTCAATAAGTATTTATCAAGTACCTACCAAGAGCCAGATACTGTGCTAAGGGCTGGGATTCAAAGACAAAAATGGAAGGACAGTCCTTGCCCTCAAGGAGCTTACTATCTGATGGGAAAAGCCAGCACTCAAAAGGAAGCTAAAAAGGCAGGAAGGGGGCAGAGAAGATGCCGTACATTGGGCATCCTCAGGAAGGGGGGAGAAGTCAGGTAGAGGAGTGAGGAGATGTGGGAGTCAGAGACCATGGCCCCACCCCCATGGATGAGGGAGGACTGAGAAGGGAAGAGGTTTGGAAAAGCTTCTGTTTGGACTGAGTTAGAAAATCAATTACAATCCACAAAAGGATGGCCTAACAGTGAGAGTCCACACTATTAATAAATGTGATAAAGTGAAGAATTGTGACTCAGGACGGTGGGAGGTGAGCAGAATAACCAGGTAACTGCTTCACAAGCTTGTAAACCAAAGCGAGGTTTATTCAGTTGGATAGGAGGGCGGCTCTCCCCCTCAAGGACAGTTCACACCACTCAGGGAGGAAAGCAGTGTTTTAAAGGGGCCACTGAGGAGTGGGACGGGAATGGGGTGAAAGTGAATTGAACAAGGTCCCTGTTGCCGGGTCTCCAGGCTTATCTGGTGAAACAACCCACCGACCCAGTTTCTGCATAAAAGATTAGGGGAGACTCCTGGGACCCTCTGGTACAGCTAAGGCTTGGAATCCCCCAGGGGAGACCGGGCACAGGGAGCCAGTGCCTGGGATCTCACAGTGAAGCAGCTCAGGAGTCGGGGGTCCAAATAAGGGGGCCAGAGAGAAGCTGGGGATCCGGAGAAGGGGGCCAGGAAGGAGCTGGGGGGCCAGAGAAGGATCCAGGAAGGAAGTGAGGGACTAGATAAGGGGACCAGATAGGATCTGGGGGTCCTGAGAAGGAGGCCAGGCAGGAGCTGGGGGTCCTGCACCCAAAGCGGGGTCCTCAGCGCAGGCAGAACTCTGGATCATTATGGGGGGGTCGGAAGGGACAACAACGCAATCCCTAAGGTGGGCGGGGTCAGGGACCCAGAACACCTGGAGCCCTCAGGGGAGCTGGAAGCAGGACTCCTGAGTCCCTCAGGGAACGTAAGCCCCAGTGGTGAACATGCAAAAGGGGAAGAGCCCGGCAGTCTGGCGGTGTTGGGGGGCGGGGAGCGGGGGCCGGTCAGCACCAGGGCGGAGGAAGAAGAGGACGGGGAGCCCGGAAGGCAGGGTAGCCGGCACGAGGCACGGCTGCTGGGGCCGACCTACCTGGGACCTGCAAGCACAGAGCGCGGCCTAAGCTTTGCTCCACGCGAGGCAGGAAGAGGGAGCCCCGCCCAGCCAGTCTCCGCCCCGGCTCCTCTACTCTCCCACGTTCCCTCGGACCCATCAGGTCACACCCACAACAGAGACCCGAGCACCCCAGCGCCACCCCCCCACATAGCTCCGCTAACTACTCCCATCTTTAGGGCCAGCCCTGAAGTGAAACTGCGCCTGCGCAAGCAGACCCAGACCGTAAGAGGCCCCGGCGAGGTTCGCCAAGGCCTGGGAGAAGGCCGAGGGGCGGAACGGTGCGGGGTGTTTCAGGGATAGGCGGCTTCCGGTTATGACCTCCAGACTTCTGGGAAATGTAGTTCACACTGCTCTGGCCTGTGTTCTGGGCCGATGGGCGGGGCGAGGCACACGTGGGGTCCTCCGCTGATTCCAATTAGCTGCGACCAAGGCAGAACCGGGGCTTCGCCGCTAAACGTGGGGGCGGGACCTAGGAGATGGGGCGGGACCAGGGGCGAGTGGGGCAGGGCGGGGGAGGACGGAGTGGGCGAGGAGAGGGCGGGGCACGGGGGCGGGGCGGGCCAAGAGCTCTCACTGGCCTTGACTCAGTGCCCGGCCCCGCCCCCTCACCAAATGAGGGGTTAGGGCTTTATGTTCACCACGGCCTTTGGTCCCTGACGCCCCAGGGACCCACCGCTTAAACCTTAGGGGGGCTCAATTCCAGGGTACTCGAGGTGGTGTGAAAAGGGCCTGAATGTCCAACACAAGCAATGCTGAGAGTTTCCCTTGAGGGTCTGCTTTGAAGGGCTACAAAGGCTTTCCATGTGGTGGGTCATTTGCTCCTCAAAACCAGCCCAGGAATTGCCCACTTTACAGAGGAGGAAACTGAGGCTGACAGGACATGGTGCCCTGGAGGAAAGGGGCCTCCCGGGGTAGAAGGTCATCCCCACCAGCCAGTGTGCTGGGGGGCTGGACTCCCTGCCTCAGTTGTTTCCTTTGTCACAAGAGAGGATCCAGTCTGGAGGGAGAGAGAGGGTTGGTCTCCCTGCTGGTGTAGACAAAATGCGCCAATAAAACCTGGAAAGGAGGGTAGAGGACAAGGCCTCAGCTGGGGCACAGACATGGGTCTATGTCAGATAACTTAGAGCTGATGAAATTCCCCGTGGGTTTAATGGATGTGGGGGAGGGTTGAACCAGCCTTTGGCTTTGGCCCATCACACAGATCTCAGTGGAGAGGAGCCTTGGAAAGACCTCGGTGGGGAGGCTTTGGCTCCAAGCTGTTTCTGACACTGCAAAGTCCCTGCTTTGGCGTTGCCCCATTTCTGGGGCCTTGGTGGAAAACATAGCCTCTGGATCTGGGGAGAGCTTGGGGGCCGGCCTGACTTGAGGAGGAGGCTTTCAGGGAGGCAGAAGCCTTTGTGGACATTTTCTCCTTGAAGCATATTTAGAACCCCTGGGAAAACAGGATTGTGTAGTTTGAACCTCCCCTTGTGTGGCTTAGAGCCTGGATCTGTTTGATGCTTTGACCAGATCTGTGGCTCAATCAGGACATGCAGATCCCCCTGACCCCAGACACCTTCAGGGGAGGGAGGGGTCCAGAGGGGGAGGCCAGGAACTTTCTGAGATCTGCCCTTTTAGGGCCCTGTAAGTGCTGTATTTGCAAATTGCCTCTCAGCTGGCCCCTCTGCTGGTTTCCTTATTCCTCTGTCTGAACTCTGTGGAATGTAAAGCTTACTAAAAGCTCTGGGAGCAGCCCCCTATTTCAGCTCTCACCTCAGTCAGAGGATGCAACAAGCTTCTTTCTAAAAGCTGTTACCTCAGAAATAGATATGGAAATATGTGTGTTGGCATGTGTGTGTGTGTGTGTGTGTGTGTGTGTGTGTGTGTGTGTATTTAGTGGTTTCCAAGTTGTCTCCTGTTTTCTCTTGTTTTTTTCCATTCCTGAGAGCTCCAGAGTGAGTATTTCCTGCTACAGTAGGTGCTTAATAAATGCTTGTTGACTTGTTGACTTAAACCACTGGAATGTGAGCTCCTACTTAATCTTTGTATCCTTAGCACTTAGCCTACTGGCTGACACATAGTAGGTGCTTAATGTTTGTTGATTGGTTGATAAATGCTTGTTGAATTAACTGATGGAGTCCAGTCCCCAGTTGCAGAGGATTGAAGGCATTCTCTTCTTTTCTGCACCCCAAGATCTGACAACATCAGCTGTACTCAAGGGGAGGAGGGAGGCCCATTGGGAATCAGGGCTGGAGTCTGCTGAGACTAAGGGGGCTTGAAGGTGTCACTTGGATACATATTATTCCAGTGCGATTTTATCATTTTCCTAATCTCTGGTCAGACAGTCCATGAGATAAATTGCTTCTATAGTAACAATAACCACAACCACAACTTGTAACCAAACGTGTAAAGCCTCCTTCCCCTGCAGCTGAGATCTCAGCCTCCTGGAAGCCAGCTCTGTGGGTGCAGGACCCAGGTAGGGCTGAGCCAGGCCATTGTCTGTGTCTGGCTTCTACTTACATGCCTTGCTACTGGGTCTCTCCCCCCACCCCCACCCCCACTTCAGCTGTGAGGGATCTCAGTTACTCAGTAAGCCTGCTTTCCCTTCAGAATTGGGACACCCTTTTTTTTCAGGAGCTTCTTCTTCAGGACTGATAAGATTAGATGACCTTGCCCAAAGACAAGGTTCCAAGGCCCTTACTTTGTAAGTTTCCCCAAAACATTATAGACAAGGAGAATTTACAAGGTCCTTTGTACTTTTGTCAAAGAGTTAAGTTTTTATTTCTATCCATGTTAAAATAAGGGATGCCCAATTAAATACTCACCAGTGTTTACACATTGTAACCACCCTCTCTCACAGCTTAATTCATAATTTCATAACATCTAGATCAAAAGAGGAGTTATTTTTCTTTTTTCAACTTAGGTTTTTTTTAATGGTGTGTCGTTTTAAAATTTGGACTGCAAATTCTTCTTTACATATTTGTTACGTGAAGTGCAAATCAATTAGAGAACTCACATATCTATTTGTGGTTTCCAGACAGCCAGTCTTGGAATTAGATAGCTTCTTGTTTTAAACTTGATAATATTTTATTTTTTCCAATTACATGGTAAGATAGTTTCCAACATTCACTCGTGTAAGATTTTGAGTTCCAAATTTTTTTTCTTCTCCCTCCTCCCCAACGCAGCAAGGAATCTGATGTAGTCTATATACATGCAATCATATTAGACATATTTCTACATTACTCATGTTGTGAAAGGAGAATCAGAACAAAAGGGAAAAAGCAGGAGAAAGTAAAAGCAATACAAAAAAGAGAAAACTGCTTGCTTCAATCTGCATTCAGTTCTCTTTGTGGATGTGGATAGCATTTTTGTCAAGAGTCTTTTGGCATTGTCTTAGATGCGTTGCTCAGAAGAGCTAAGTCTGTCACAGTTGGCCATTTCACAATGTTACTGTTACTGTGTAAAATGTTCTCCTGGTTCTGCTCACTTCACTCGACATCAGTCCATACGAGTCTTTCCAGGTTTTTCTGAAGTCTGCCTGCTTACTATTTTTTATGGAACAGTAGTATTCCATCACAATCATATACCACAACTTGTTCAGCCATTCCCCCAATTTCCAATTCTTGGCCACCACAAAAAGAGCTGCTAGAAATATTTTTGCACATGTAAATCCTTTTCTCTTTTTCATGACCTCTTTGGGATACAGACCTAGCAGTGGTATTGTTAGACCAAAGGGAATGCACAGTTTAATTGCCTTTTGGGCATAGCTCCAAATTGCTCTCCAGAAAGGTTGGATTGGTTCACAACTCCACTAACAAGGTGTTAGTGTCCCTATTTTTCCACATCTTCTCCAACATTTATCATTTGAGGAGCTAATTTTCTTTTTTTAAAAAAATTTCACTTCTAACTCTTTCTTTTAAATTTTGATTTATCAACAATCACTTCCATAAGCTTTTGAATTTAAAATTGTTCTCCCTCCCTCTCTTCCCAGTCTCCCTCCCCAAAACAGCAAGCAACCTGATATAGGCTATATGTATACATTCCTATTAAACATATTTTCACATTGATGGTGTTGCAAGGAAGAATTACAACCAATAGGAAGAACCGCAAGAAAGAGAAAACAAAACATAAGAAAAAAATAGCAAATAGTATGCTTAGATCTGCATTCAAACTCGATAGTTCTTTCTTTGGATGTGGATAGCATTTTCCATCATGAGTCCCTTGGAATTGTCTCCCTGCCTTCCTCCCTCACAGCTGAGGTCACCGCTGCCTTCTCTTTGTGTGGGACAGCTATTTTTATTTTCCAAATATAACTCAGAGGCTTCTCCAGGTAGAAAGCAGAAAAGAATTTTTATTACGATCTCGTGAGAAAGGGTGACCCACACCAAAAAACCTCAGTGTCAGAGCTCACCAAACATAGATACAGCAGGTATTTTATAGGTCTCTACCACAGTTCCTCTTCTAACCCCCAGCCCCTTATCCCATTGGCTGGGCTTTCAGGGGGTACATCTATTTACAGAGACACAAGTTTGCCCAGAGACAAGAAGTGGCAGGAAGGTTTTCAAGGACAAGCACTTCCTGTTGGGGGCAGACTATTCTTTCTGCTAAGTACTTAAAAACAGGGTCTGAGCGGGGAAGGGTTTTGAAAGCAACAATCAAGAACTATTAACAAGAACCATTGACTCCCTGAGGAGGCTTCACTTCTGAGAGATCCTCTCTCACATCTTGGACCTTAGATCTCTGCCTTCCTGACACCAGCTCTGTAGGGGAGATCTCTCCTAGGTCTGAGCCAGCCCTTCACAGATCTGCTGCCTGTTCAGGCCATTGGATCTCTTCCTCCTCCTCTGACCAGGGGTGAGTGCCCTCCAGGTCTGCCTGGAGCAATCCTCCCGCCCAGGCCTGGCTACTGCAGAAGCCTTCAGCTGTTCTCTTTTGCAGACTCCCAATCACTTCCCAAATGTTCAGAGTCCCTCTCTTTAGATTTAAGATTGGGTCACCCTTTCCCAAAATTCCAACTTTATCCACAGGGACCCAGGAATCCTGTCTCTCTGCCCCCAGCTTTTGGTTAGAGATTGAGTTGTTCTCCCTTCCAACCAAGGCCCTGTAAGGTGATAATCAAAGATCAATTGAGCCCCAATAAGGGCCAAAAACCTGAATTAATCTTTTCTCTCTGAGTGAACTAAAAATACCCCTTCCTCTGTCAGCAACTACAGGACCAGATGGAACTGACAAGCATTCTTCCTGTTTGTGATCACTAAGGGCAGGATGCCTGGGACCAGACAATGTCTGGAAGAATGGGACTTTTATTGTCTTGGTATCCTATGCACATATGTAGGGAAAAACAGATATCCTGGGACTGTAATTCCAATGGACACCTTGCTTCTTCTCTTATATTTACAACCTATTCAACCAAGAAATTTCCTTTTTCATGCTACATGTTAAAAACATGTAGTGGCTGTGTATATATATATATATATATAGATAGATAGATATAGATATAGATATAGATATAGATATAGATATAGATGTATATATATATATACACACACATACATATACACATTGACTCAGACATTCTGAGTTGGGATTGCTTTAAGAGTATAAATTGTCTATTTCAAATTGCTGGATTCACTCACAGTTAAAGCTCTAGCTCCATGTCCATGTCACTAACTTAAGGGAATAAACAATGAATTTACATATCACCTAGCTTGTTGTCTCTTTAACCAACTTCCAGGTTGACAATATGTAATATAAATATATATGTATATAGATATAGATATAGATATAGACATAGACATAGACATAGACATAGACATAGATATAGATATAGATATAGATATAGATATAGATATAGATATAGATATAGATATAGAGTGTGTGTGTGTGTGTATATACATATACATATGTTATGTAGGGGAAACACAGATATCCAGGATCTATAATTTCAATTGACACTTTGGCAACCTATTCAAATAAGAAATTTCCTTTGCCATACTATATGTTAAAAATCATATGGAGACTGTATTTTTTTGTAGTAACACAGACAGCCTGAGTCAGGGTTTAAATGTCCTGCAAAAATTGCTTGAGTCAATCAGAGTTAAAGCTCTGATTCCATGTACATGGGCTGCTTAAGGGAATAAAGAATGAAACAATGTGAATTTACTTATCACCTAGCTTCTTGTCTCCTTAACCAACTTTCAGGTCGACAAAGGATTGAAAGTTCTGCCTGCCCTGAGAACTCATTTTGGATGCAAGAAACAAAGATCCTGCCTGGCCCCCTTTTATCTAGACCCCCAGCTCCTGGGCTGCTTAGCTATCAGATCCCAGACACTGGCTCCCTCTGTCAGCTCTCCCCTGGGGATTCCAAACCTAGGCTTTACCAGAGGGTCCCAGGAGTCCTTTTGAGCTCCTAGTTAGATCTCAGCACACAGCTATCCTGCTTTCCCACACTCAGTGTCCACCTGGAGCCCTTCTGTCACTCCAGTGTCCCTGACCTCACTGCTATGAGCTGGGTTAGAATGTCTCTCTCCCAGCCCCTACCTGTGCTCTCTTTCCCCAGGCCTCCTGCTTCCCTGCCCCCTCTTCCAACAGAGCCCTTAGGCCCCCTGCTAGGGGGCTGAATGCCAGACTGGATTTTGTGTTCCAGCCTCAGGCTTCCTCTGGTTATTCCTGGTGGCTCCATCCCAGAGCCCTCCCCATCCCCAACCTTCCCTCCCTCCTAGGTCAAGCAGTCAGTCTATTGTCTAGGTAATGTGTGTGTGTGTGTGTGTGTGTGTGTGTGTGTGTGTGTGTGTGTGTTTTGCCTGGGGAGAGGGGAGGCAGGGAGGGCAGAGGACCAGTTGTAGGGAGAGCTCTGATTCAGGAGCCATTGAGACTCTGCCTGGTCTCATCCCATCTGGGGAAGGGAAGGGGACAGAAGAGAAGAAATAGGAGAGGTTGGGATCATCTCATTTCCAAGCCTGATCTTTCCTGTAGGTTGCAGTCCCTGCTCTGAGGGCAGCATCTTACCCTCTGTAAATCTCTGTATACCAGCCTGCTGTCCTGGAAGGCCAGGGAAAGACCTCTGCCCTTCTGGGACCCTTCAGCCCCCCCAGCTCAGTGTGCAGAAGACCAAGGCCTGACCCAGCAGGGAGCCTGGAGTCAGAGGGAATGGCCCTTGGGATCCCCAGTCCCCCAGCTCAGGTAAATGAACTCTGCCCTCAGACTTGACCCACATCAGCCAAAGAGGCCATTTGCAGAGACAAAGAGGATTGTCTATAAGGCTGGCCATCCCCTACGTATGGATTGTTTCTTTACAAAAATAGGCAGGTGTGTGGGATGCCACTCAAATTAAAGAACACACAGAAGTATCCATGAAAAAACAGAAAGTTAATTTATTATTATTATTTCAAACCTCAAGATTTGGGTGTCCCTCCACCAGAATACTCTGATGAAAGGAGACAGACTACAGGAGCAAAGGACCTGATTAAATAGCCCTAATGGGCAAATCCCCCTCCCACCAACTGACCAATATGTGGCTCACATTCTCAATGTCCATAGAAAATGAAAACAAAATAATGAACACAATATACATATCTATATTTCTTAGTTTGCTGAAGTAATACCAAAGAAGCAATTAAAGATGTGCAGTCAAGCTAGACACTGTACTGTACAGCCAGGTCACCAAGACAGACAACAAAATACGGGGGGGGGGGGGCTTCTTCAGGAGTTTCAGGCTTGGCAAACTTTAACTACTGAACAATGGCATGGGGGGGTACTTGGGGTTGAATTCTAGTAAATCGAAACTTAGGCCTGTTGGGCTGCTATGCCTGCCTTGAGTCTAATACAATTTCTATTTATTCTTCTAAGAAGCTTTCATGGGACCCCTCATCCCACTCAGCCTTATCATGAACCTTAATTACACTAAGGAGTCTTCACTGGAACATCCCATTCACAGGGAATTCAATACAGTAGTAACAACACTGGCCTGGTCTTCCCTTCTGTGTTTTGAACTGATTCTCAGCACTTTGGCATCACAAACACTAACTACTACTCTCCCCCCATCCCAGTTGCTGCCCTCCTGTGTTTAGTTTTGAAGTTTTCCCCCTTGATCCCTGAGTCACTCCTTCCTCTCTCTTCTGCAGGGGTCTTGTCTTTGCTCCCTTTATGCATGCCTTGCACCCCTCCCCCACTCATCCATAGAACTGCTCCCCCTCCCCTTTGCTTCTTTGGCCAAGCTCCCCCTGGCAGACCTTGAAGACAGGATGCTCTGCTTGACCTCCAGGGTCCCAGCTGCAGAAGCAGTTGATTACTCTGGTGCACACTGACTATTCTTTTCCCGTAGCTGGTTTGACCCTCAAGGGCACAGTGAGAGGGCAGTGAGTATTGAAAGGACCAAATTCTATGACCTGGGGCTGGGGGGTGTTCTGCCCTCCTACATCCTCTACTCCAATGTTTCTGGAAAATACGGCAACTCCAGAAAACAAGTTAAGTTAGCTCCTGGGTCACATTCACATGTTCAAAGGCCCTTAGCAGAGCTGTTTGGAGTGGGCCAAAGGAAAAAGTACCTTCTGGGGCAGCTAGGTGGTGCAGTGGATAGAGAACCAGCCCTGGATTCAGGAGGACCTGAGTTCAAAAATCCGGCCTCAGACACATAACACTTACTAGTTGTGTGACCCTGGGCAAGTCACTTAACCCCATTGCCTAGCAAAAACAAACAAACAAACAAACAAAAGAAAAAGTACCTTCTTTGGCTGTTAATTAGCATTTGTTATGGTATATGGTATATGTTCTCTCGTTAGAGAGGATATAGGGAATGGGCTGAGATTGGGGAGCTATTCAAAGTCCTGGGAGTTTTCTTTTCCAGTAGGGAAAAGAGGGATGCTGAAGGAGACAGTTTTCTTCAGAGGCATCAGGCTCAATGGCAAAGACACAATGGAGTGACTTACTTTCTTCCCAAAATCCACCCTTGACTTTCTTCACAACAGCCTATATGTAGGTGTTCTTATTATCTTCATTCTACAGTTCAGGAAACTGGAGCAAAAAGAGGTTCAATGACTTACCAACCAGGGTCACATAGCTTGTTAGTGTCTGAGGCTGGATTTGAACTCAGATCTTCATGATCTACCATTTCATAGCTCCCCCAACATTGTATTAGTGTGCCCATCTTCCCAAATCTGTCCAACATTGACTGGTGCTGATGGGGTATGGCCCAAGCCTGGGTCTTTGCCCCTTGACCCAAAGGGAATCTGGCTCCCCTTTGTCTACAGCCCCCACACCTCATCTCCCTTTGAAAGCCTTAGCCTACCTTTTAATCTCATTCAGATGCCTTTCAGTTGCTTTGTTATCTATTCCCATTGTCTATTCAATCTCTTAGTCATTTGAATCTCTGGGAATTCTCACCCAGACCCTTTTCCCAGACCATTTTCCCAGACCCTTCCCTGGTCACTCAAATTATATAAGATCTACCCTGGCCCTCATTTGGGGCTGAGAATCTCAGGCTGAGACCTTCTCATGCCCACTCGTCCTCATGGGCGTCACCTAGCCTATATGTTTTATCACTAATAAACTGTTCCTCTGGCTGAAGAAGATTTGAGTTGAATTCTTTCAGGCAGGGCCCAGTACTGTGATTTTGGGGTTCCAGCAGCACCCCAAAAGTCCTAGACCTCTTAATATGGTTCCCTGACTGGGAAAATAATACTAAATCTTACATTCTTTTTTTCCCCTAAATTTTGAGTTCCCAGTTCTCTACCTACTTCCTTCCTCTTACCTCTCCTACATACAGTAAGCAAGTAGAAACAGGTTATACATATGTAATCATGTAAAGCATTTCTGTATTATTCATTTTGTGAGATAAAATTTGAACCTAAAAGAAAGAAAGTGAAAAATAGTAGGATGCTTTAGGCCTGTATTCAGACTCAATGAGTCCTCTTTATGGAGGGGGATGGTGTTTTTCATCATGAGCCCTTTGGGATTGTCTGAGATCATGATATTGCTGAGAATACCTAAGTTATTCCCTGTTACTCATCATATGATATTGCTGTTACTTTATACAATGTTCTCCTGGTTTTGCTCAGTTCACTCTGCATCTTTCATATAAGTCTTTAATTTCTTTGCTTTTCTTTTTTTTGGTGAGGCAGTTGGTGTTAAGTGACTTGCCTAGGGTCACACAGCTAGTGCCAAGTGTAGGTCCGGATTTGAACTCAGGTCCTCTGACTCCAGGGCCACTGTGTTATCCACTGCCGCCACCTAGTTGACCCTATGTAAGTCTTTCTAGGTATTTCCGAAATCATCCTTCTTTTCTTTTCTTATAGAATAGTATTCCATTGTAAGCATATACCACATGGTGTTAATCCATTCCCCAATTGGTGGACATCTCCTCAATTTCCAATTCTTTGCCACCACAAAAAGAGCTGTTATAAATACCCTTGTCCTAAATAGGTCATTTTCCCTTTTCAATCTTTTTGGGATACCAACTTATCATTATTGCTGGGTCAAAGGGTATGCATAGTTTATAACCAAACATACATTGTGAATGTAACAGATTGGAAATATAAAGGACTGCTCCCAATTATCAAGGCATTTTCAGATTTGGCCAGCCTCTCCTGTGTATGGTCCATCAAACAGGCCACGTCACTCATTCTCTTGACTTTTGTTCTCCCGTGTCCAGAGTTCTAGAAGTCTGATTGGATTCTTTATTTCTCTTGAGGAAATTGTCAATGTCTTCCTCATGAGTCAGCTGAAACAGAACCTACATTAAATTTTGCTTTTTTAGTGTTTGAAGGAACCCTGCATAATTACTCTTATTTCTGTGTAACTAGGTAGCAGAGTATGAATAGATTCTCTTGTGCTAATTTTGGTCTGAGAATAAGACCAAGAAAAAAGAGGTTCTCCTAAAGGTCAAGGATATCAATGGAATTGATTTAAAAAAATATCAAGGAAGGTGGTCTAGGTGTACTAGATCTTAAACTGTCTTATAGAGCCATAATTATCAAATCAGTCTGGTACTAGCTAAGAAATAGAGTAGAATAGATTAAGTACAAATTAAATTACAGTAAATGACTGTAGTAATCTGATGTATGATCCTAAAGATCCAAGCCTTTGGAAGAAAAACTCATTTTTGGGGCAGAGTGAAGATGGTTGAGTGAAAGCAGTGACTTCCTCGAGCTGTCCCCCAAACCCTTCCAAATACCTGTAAAAAATGTCTCCAAACAAATTCTACAGCAGCAGAACACACAAAAAGACAGAGTGAAACAAATTTGCAGTGCAAGGTAACCTGGATGGTTGATTGGAAAGGCCTATTGCTCTGGGCTGAGAGAGGAATGCATTCAGCATGGGTGTGTAGGCAAAGATGGGCCTCAGCAAACCTGGCGCAGGCCTCAGGGGATTGAATTAAGGGGAACTGTGGCAGTTTCCAGACTTCTCAATGCACAAAAGCCAAAGTCAACTTAGAATGTCAGTAGGAAAAGGTCTGTAGGACCTGGGTGAGAGAGGAGCTTGGGCTGGCCCCAGTCCTGGCACAGCCCCACGGCAGTGGTGGGGGGATAAAGTGGCTGATCAGAAGAGGATTGCAGGGATCTCTTTGCTGGTACTGAGCCAGGAATCTCTTACTTTGCCCATGCTGAGATCTGAGTTGCACTTCTGGGTGGCGGTCCTGGGGTGAAGAAGAGCGCTGGCATGGTAGAGCTTGTAGTGGTGATGAAGAGGGAATCTTCCTCACATTTCCAAGGCAGAAAAGAGTGCTTGTGGTCACTGATAGACCAGAGCCCAGGCCAGGAAAGGAGTAAACACCTCACCCTTGATCATAGCACCTTGGAAAAACTGAAAATTTACAGGTCCCTAGAAGTATCTCTGAAAACGGCTGCACAAAACCCCTAAAGCTTGGGATAGTACATCCTCCACACTGGAAGCAGACCCCTAGTTAACAAAGAGTTTAATAGTTAAGTAATTGGCTGGGAACATGAGCAAACAGCACAAAAAAGATCATAGAATCTTACTTTGGTGACAAAGAAGATCAAAACATACAACCAGAAGAAGACAACAAAATCAAAGCTCCTACATCCACAGCCTCCAAGAAAAATATGAATTTGTCCCTGGCCATGGAAGAGCTCAGAAGGGATTTTGAGAAGCAAATAAGAGAAGTAGAGGAAAAACAGGGAAGAGAAATGAGAGTGATACAAGAAACTCATGAAAAACAAATCAACCACTTGCTAAATGAGACCCAAAAACACACTGAAGAAAAAACTCTTTTTTTTTTTTTTACAAAAACTGCTGGGAAAACTGTATAGCAGAAATGAGGCATAGATCAACATATTACACTGTATACCAAGATGTGGTCAAAATAGGTATATGATTTATACATAAAGGGCGATATCATAAGCAAATTAGGACTCATGGAATATTTTATCTGTCAGATCAATGGATAAGGGAAGAATTTATGACCAAACAAGAGATAGAGAATGTAAAAATGTAAAATAGATCATTTTGATTTTATTTAATTTTTTTTTCCGAAACAAAATGAATGCAACCAAAATTATAAGTAGATTAGAGAACTAGGGAAAATTTTTTTCCAGAAAATATCTGTGATAAAGGCATTATTTCTCAAATATGTAGAGAAGTGAGTCAAATTTATAAGAATGCAAGTCATTCTTCAAGTGATAAATGGTCAAAGGATATGTGCAAGTAGTTTTCAGACAAAGAAATCAAAACTATCCATAGTCATATGAAAAAATGCTCTAAATTACTATTGATTAGAGAAATGTAAATTAAACGAACTCTGAGGCACACCTCACACCTGTCAGATTGGCTAATATGACAAAAATGGAAAATGATGGATATTGAAGGGTATGTGGGAAAACCGGGACACTAAGACACTGTTGGTGGATTTTCGAACTGCTCCAACCATTCTGAAGAGCAATTTGGAACTATGCCCAAAAAGCTATAAAACTACGCATACCCTGGGATCCACTTTTAGGTCTGTATCCCAAAGACATCAAGGAAAAAAAAAAGAAGAAATGGAGCTATTTGTACAAAAATATTTATAGCAGCTCTTTATGTGGGGGTTAAGAATGGGAAATCGAAGGCATACCCATCACTTTGGAAATGGTTAAACAAACTGTAGTATATGATTGTAATGAAATATTATTGTGCTATAAGAAATGACAACAAACTTGGAAAGACTTACATGAACAAATGCAAAGTGAAGAGAATAGAACCAGGAGAACACTGTATACAGTAACAGCAATCTTTTTCAATGAAGAACTGTGAATGATTTAGCTATTCTCAGCAACAGAATGATCCAAGAAAATCCCAAAGGACTAATGATGAAACATACTATCCTTCTCCAGAGAAAGAACTGATATTGATTGAATACAGACTGAAGCAAACTATTTTTCACTTTCTTTCATTCTTTTTATTTTTTTTCAAGTATTCCTGTACAAGATGATTAATATGTAAATATTTTACGTGATTGTACATGTATAACCTATATCTGATTGCTTACTGTATTGAGGAGGGGACAGAGAAGGAGGGATAGAATCTGGAACTCAAAAGTATAAAAAAGAAAATCAAATGTCAAAAAATGTTTTTAACATGTAATTGGGATAAAAATAATTTTTTTAATAATTTAAACAAAAAAAGGAAGAAAATAGAGGTTCTCCATCATCTACCATGGCACCATTCATATGTGGAACCATTGATTACAGCAAATTGGTTACAGAAATTTTGAATCCTGTGGATAAGTTCACTTGCCTTGGCAGTATGTTTTCCAGGATGTACATAAATGTGATGATGCTGTGAAAAGAAATAACCTACAAAAAAAAAACTAAACAAAACAAAAAAAAAAGAAAAGAAATAACCTTTAAATCAGTTAATATTTAATAACTTTGGTTTATTTTTAGTTTGATTATAGGAGTAAATTCTCTTCTTAGGGAAAAGCTATCCCTCACAATTAAGCCACACTAAAATAGATATTCTTCTAAGTCTAGGTTACCTATAGATTTAGTGAATACACAGATTTGTAAGACTTTATCATTTAGTCATGGATAATTTAGAGTAAGACATATATATCTTTGTAGAACTAAAATAATCATGGGATTGTAAAACTCTTTTCAAAGGCTAAATTCCTCTTTCTGGCTGCTGGAGAAAAGTGGTTAACAATACCCTAAGTTCCTCTTTCCAGTCTTGGTGGATTAGCTCCTTTTCATTTTTCCTTCAGCTGGAGGTTAAGTCTACATTGAGTGGTGCAGTCTTCTAAGGTTGAGTTTCCGTTTCTGGCAGCTGGAGGATGGGGTATGACTGCTACCTACAAACCACTAGTTCCTCTTTTCCAGTACTTCTTCAAACTATATGCTCCTTTAAAGTAATATTTTGGTGATTAACAGGCTGACTTCAGAAAAACCTGGAAAGACTTATATGGTTTGATGCTGAGTGAAGTAAGCAGAACCAAGAGGACTTTGTACACAATAACAGCCACGTTATGCAATGACTAAGATTGTTAAATGGAACCTTTCTCAGCATTATGAGGATCTAAGACATTTCCAGAGGCCTCAGGATGGATAATGCTGTTCACATTCAAAGAAAGAACTATGGAAGTTGAATCGCTATCACTTATTTTTACCTTCTGTTGAGTTTTGTTTCATCTTTCTGATGGTTCCTCGTATTGGTTTTAATTTTTACTTACAACTTCACTGATGTGAAAATATGTTTAATGGGTATGTAAATGTAAAGCCTATATCAGATTGTGCGCTGTCTTGGGGAGGGTAGGGGGGAGGAAAAGGGAGAAAAATTTTCAACTCAAAAGCACATGGAAAAAATAAAAAATTTAAATAAAAAAATAAATAAAGTAATATTTTGGTTGCAAAACTCATCAGCTGCAGAGCAAGGACTTCTAAGGATTTCTCACTTTGATGGACAGTATGATAGACACAGGATGAATCTGGGTCAAGAAAACCCAGGAAGAGTAGGTAGTCAGATGACCTGCCTTGTCCAGTTGAATTTTGTTCAAAATATGTTTCCTAAGATTGTTGTAATTTTTCTCTTCTCCTTCTGTTATAAAAACTAACTCTTTAAATCACTCTTTTGTGTCACAACTTACTGAGGAATTAGTTGACCTTAAAGGTAACGTGTCAACTATTACAATTAAATTATTGTTTACTAGGAAATTTTATACCTCAGATTATTTTCTATGTCAGATAACTAATTTTAACCCTTGATGCCTGCTTTGCCAGAGACAATTCAGTGCTTGAGAGGCTCCCAAGACAAGTGTGGGAGAGGAGAAGTAATTGGATTGCATACCATACTGAAAGCCTACAGAGCTCTTGTGCTGACCTCATTGTTGTATGCCTGTGAAAGCTAGACAGCATGCCAGCGCCAGGCCAGGAAGCTGAATCTCTTCCATTTGAACTGTCTCAGGAAGATTCTGAAGATCTCCTAGCAAGATAAAGTACTGGGCACTGAGGTACTTCCATCAAGTTAGACTTTCAAACATTTACAGTCTACTACAAAGGGTATATCTCTGATGTGCTGGCTGCATTGTTCAAATGCCAAAAGAATGTTTACCTAAAAGACTGTTTTTCAGAGACCTCATGCAAAGAAGGCACTCACAAGGTGGTCAGAAGAAGTGACACAAGGACATTCCCAAGGTCTCTCTGAAGAAATTTGTAATCAATTGTGAGTCATGAGAGACATTGGCAAAGGACCACTAAGCATGGCATGCCCATATCAAAGAATGTGCTGTGCTGTGTGAGCAAAGCAGAATGGCAGTAGCTCAAAAGAATTGTGAGATGTACAAATTCAGAGCCATCTCCAGTCCAGATGTGCACATGGACTCTTTGTGCCCAATGTGTGGTGGAGCCTTCTGGGCTCTATTAGTCTGATCATCCATGGTCAGACGCACTTTGACCCTGACATAGAGATGTCATTTTGGTTCACCTGGAAAAGAATGAACAACAAAAATGACCAACTATGGGAACCAAATATTATCATAAAGAAATATATGTTATTGACAAATGCAAGCAATCATAAAGTGAAGGCATAAGGTGTTTTGACCATGACACATCGTGCCCAGAGCAGCCTCAAGACCTCAATGTAACAACAGATAACTCTCCTTCACTTGGCTGGAAAGTCTCATAGCCCTCAGTTCAGTCCAGATCACAATTAGTATGTCTCTAGAATCCTTTTCATGCTTTATCTAGGTAAGACTTTGTTTCAGCCTCTCAGCAAATAAACTAGGTCTTTTCTTTTTCTTTCCTCTCTTCTGTAATCACACATAAGTTCACAAACCCCAACAGAATACACTGTACTTGCAGCTTCTTAGAAAGTCCCCACAGAATTTTCTTTATAACATATCACTTCTATCAGTTCTGAGAAGACAGAAATTACAGATCATCTTCTGTCTCTTCTACAGAACCTCTATCTCACAGGTAGAATACATACTTTTGCTCACATTCCATAGGCAGACTCAACTTTATTCCAATTGACCATATCAAATGATTTTCTCAGTATTAAGCCCATTGAACTCTTGATGAGTATGCTTTCAAGTGTTGACTCCGATACTCATCAAGGGTACCACCTTGGGTAAACCTCTTTCTGTGTTTCAGTTTCCTCCTGTCACTTGATGAGGATTAGACTACAGGAATTCTGGAGTCTCTTTCTGCTCTAAATCTTATGACTTTTCATGGTTTAGGACCTGGTGACATTCAAGGATGTGGCTGTGGACTTTACACAGGAGTAGTGGGGCCTCTTGGACAGAAGGAGTTGTACAAGGAGGTCATGCTGGAGAATGCCCAGAACCTCCTCTCCCTGGGTAAGGACACTTCCTCTGGCCACTTGGAGTCTGCAATCCAAGGGAATATCTTCATTTCTGAGTGTGCAGGGTTGGAAATATTTATCAATTCCTAGAAGGGAAAAGTGCTGGTCTCCTCTGTCCAAGAGACAGGGTCCCCTGCTGCATGGTTTTACTATAAAAGGTCAGTACACTGTGTGAAGAGAACCTGGAGGTTTCCTGGTTGCTCCTGAAGCTGTCTCTTGCCAATTCTAGGTAGCTTGAGGTCAAAGATCAGATCAGTGTTGAAGCATCTCAGATGTGGAAATAATCCCACATTATGTAGTCCAGCCTTTCCCCGGACATGACTTTTGTCTGCCAACTCTCTGGAAACTGCTCGGGAGGCTTTTCCTTGTGACCCCTTCCTCTTTGGGATGGCTCTACTGTATTGAACATTCTTCTTAAGAAGCCTCAATTTATAGCTCACAGCTGCTACATGTGTCTGGTATGGCAAGTTTGTCCTGAATCTTCCTTTGCAGTGCCCCAATTCCAGCAGAGATGGTGGGAAAGACAGGACGGCAATAAATATTTATATTCACCTGCTGTTCACCAGCTGTTGTGTTAAGTGCTTCCTTTATCTTTAGGTAATATTATTATCCCCATTTGACATTTGAGTAAACTGAAGCAGAGGTCAAGTCGCTTTTCCAGAGGCACACAGCTAGTAATTGCCTGAGGCTGGAATTAGACACTGGCATACCTAACTCCAGGCCCAGGGCTCTCTCCATTGCTCTACCAGCTGAGTGTAATTTCTGCATAATGCAAAATTTGCAGTGAGTTCACCCTTCTATGAAGAAGGTTTGCAAAGACCAAATTTTCTGTTTCCTAATTGTCTCCATGATCTTCTCCCCAACCTCTCCCCAAAGCTCCCAAAAATAAATGCTGTGCAATCCTTGCTTAAGGAGTCTTGAGAACCATCCTGTGCCTTTTGTTTCCAAGCCCCTGTCAATGGCAGGAATAACAGACTAGCCAAGAATCAGAATTTGTACTAAGGTTCCTTCAGTTCCCCAGTTGGAGAATCTTACCAGAAGAGGCAAAGACTCCCTGAATGAACAGTAACAAGGTGTTTATAGGTTTCAGGGAGTGAGGAGCAGTGTTGGGGACAGGACCAAAGCTGGTTCATCAAGGTCCCTTTTGCTGGAGCTCAAGGCTGATTGGATATATCCTATTTTGGGCTACTGGTATTAAAGCATTAATGGAAGAAGAATACAGATACGTGTGAACATGATGGACTGATTCTCCAAATGCAGTGGCTTTCTGTGCACACTCTTTTCCCTAAAGAAAACTAAATTACTAGTTTTTCCTCTATACTTATCCCTGACTCCCCATGTCCAGGGCTGCCATTTCCCAGAGAAGATTAGATCTGTTATTTGTCTTTTTTTAGTTTTGCTAGGCAATGGGGTTAAGTGACTTGCCCAGGGTCACAAAGGTAGTAGGTATTATGTGTCTGAGGTTGGATTTGAACTCAGGTCCTCCTGAATCCTAGGCCGATGCTATATCCACTGCACCACCTAGCTGCCCCTTGATGTGTTATTTGGAAGAAAGGGAAGCACCATGGCTGCTGGAGCAAGAAGGCCTGAAGAGGTGCTGTCCAGGTGAGTGAGGTGAAGCAGGTAGATGAGAACTATGATGAGAACAGGCTTCTAGGTGTGGAGGTGAAGCAACTGCTAGATTTGGAAACAGGAAGACCTGACTTGGAATTCTTTTTTAAACACTTATTAGCAGTGGGATCCTGGACAAGTCAAGGAACCTCTGAGCCTCAGTTTCCCCATATGTAGAATGAGGGAAATAGACACCATGGCCTTTAAGTTGTCTTCCAGTGCTAAATCTGTGATCTGGTAAAGAGATATTGTTTAGAATTTGTAGGCAGGATCTCCCCTGAAAGTACAAAAAGGGTTAGGTTTTCCAATATGGGCTCTTTCTTAGACCTTCCTCAAGTCAATGAGTATTTATTAAATGCTTGCTATGTGCCAGACCCTCTGCCAAGCACCAGGGACCTAAAGAGATGTAAGGAAAATCCACTGCTCTCCTGCAGCTCACAGACTGGGGGGAGGGCAGGCAGACAACATGCCAACAACAGTATAGAACACTGTTAAGGACAGGACAAATTGGGGCTCACTGAGAGGGAAGGTACTAAGTGAAAGAATGCTGGAAAGGCTTATTGTGGAAGGGGGGGTCTAGCTGGGGCTTCAGGGAAGCAAGCGTGAGCATTCTAGGCACAGTGATGGTGAGGAAAGCCTGTGGAGTCAGGTGATGGACTATCCTGTTCACAGAAGAGAAGGGAGGTTCATAGCACTGCATTATAGCATGCTTGGTGGGGATATAAGGGAATATATAATGAAAACTAGAAGAGTAGGAGAGGGGTAGGTAAAGAAGCAGCAGGTGACTAAGAGCCCTAGAGGGGATGTTATGTTTGATCCCTTTCCTATCTGATCCATAGCCAATTGTTGAGAACATGATAACATGGTCAGTCAAAACTTTAGGAAGGTGAACTTTGACAAGTGGATGGAGGAATGACAGGAGTGGAGTGAGACTTGAGGCAGCTGGGCCAAACAGCAGGTTCTCACAATATCTCAGGTGTGAGGTGATTGAATCCTG